CCCATGCAAACTAGACCTGCATCACCTTCCTGAGAAGGTAAACAACCTGGATCTCGGAGAGCTAGAAAAGGGGAAGCCACACTCCCCAGAAGCAGAAACGAGATAAAATTCAAGCTTACACCTTGATGCTAAACCCTAAACCTCCACCGATCCGAATTCAACCACGACTGACTGATCCTAACACCTGTGAAGCCGTAAAACCCTAAACCCTAAACCCTAAACCCTAACGTAAACCATAATCTCCACCGACCAGCGTCTCAGGGCTCTATTCTGTGAAGGTCACGCACACCGAACACGCGGTAAACAAAAGACTCAGTTGGCTTGGGTCTGGGGGTGACTGGTTTCTGAAACAACAAACAACAAAAACACAGCTATTTAGGCCTAAGAACCCTAAACCCTAAACCCTAAACCCTAAACCCTAAACCCTAAACCCTAAACCCTAAACCCTAAGTTTAGGGTTCAAGGATCCCAAGTAACATAGAATACATGACAACAACACCAAACCCAAAGACCTATAGCAGCACTATAGCAGCCCTTAGAGGAACCCTTCTAATCCGATATAGAGCCCTTACAATACCCCTTAAAGGAACCGTTTTGGTACCCCGTAAAACAACTCTTGCGACCCTCTCTTTGCCGCCTCCGGGAGTGCGCACAAGCCTGGCTGTAAGTGGGAGTTTCCGAAAATAGGGGTACCTTATCTTGGGGGTCCTTATAATAAGGACCTACTATGTGGGGTACCTTATCTTGGGGGTCCTTATAATAAGGGACCTACTATGTAGGGGTACCTTATCTTGGGGGTCCTTATAATAAGGGACCTACTGTAGGGTACTACCCTAAACCCTAAACCCTAAACCCTAAACCCTAAACCCTAAACCCTAAACCCTAAACCCTTAGGGTCCTCTATTTTCGGAAACTCCCAAGTGTTCAAGCATAATTTGGAGCTCGGGGTTGGAGGCGTCGGATTTCGGGTTTCAAGACTTCTGCTGGGTTTGGGGTTTTGGGGTTCAGGGTTTAGGGTTTGGGGTTTGGGGTTTAGGGTTTAGGGTTTAGGGTTTAGGGTTCAGGAGTTAGGATGCAAAGGATTAGGGGTTTCGAGTTGCGCGGTTTGCCGTCGCAGGTTTTGTGGCCAAGGGCTTAAAGGCTGAAGTATGGATGCGGGGTCTAAGGCTTAAGGCATGCCGATAAGCTCTGTGATTTTTTGTAAGCTCTTCCGAGGCGGTTAGTATTCAGATTACAGTTTTTAGGTTACTCTGGCAAAGCACCTGGTTCGGTTGACCGGTTCCCTTTCCTCCGGCTTTGGAATTGCCTGATCTGGTCCCTTAATTTCGAGGGTAATTATTAAAGCACATAAGGCATGAGTCAAAATAGAGACAGTTGGAACACTCATAGACCGGTTTCCTATGCTGAGTCACTGGTCGGTTAAGCCGGCTAAGCATGCATTCCTTTATCAGAAGTCTGACAAGACAGTGCAGAAACTCCAGCACCTTTTAGTTATGGATCCCTTCCCAGCGTTCCCGACCCAGTTGAATCAAACGCACAAACGGGTAGTTCTCTAAATTAGGCTCCCTTGTTAGGTCCCGAATATAGTACGGCACCCTTATTAAAAGGACCCTAAAAGGGACCCTATCTTAGAGAACTATCCAAACACAAACGCTAGCGGCTTTACAGCGCAGCCCCCGAAACTCCCCAAACGCACCTTATTGCCTCTTCCCCGATATATCCCCCCAATCGCAAAAGCGATTTGAGCGGAACACTCCCAAACGCAGCCCAACGGCTGAAGGTGCCAAGACTGCTTGGGGCTTTAGGGTTTAGGGTTTATAGGGTTTATAGGGTTTATAGGGTTTATAGGCTTATAGGGTTTATTTGGTTTAGGGGTTATAGGGTTTTTAGGGCTTATAGGGCTTGTTTGGTTTAGGGTCTAGGGCTTATTGTCAACTGTGCACAGACGAGTTCACTGGCCATGCCGACAGCTAATTTCATAATTTTTCAGAATCTCAGAAGGAAGTCATGGGTGAGTCTTAGCATGCTTTGGATCCGGGCCCTTGTAGAATTCGGGTGCCGGGTTCCAAACGCTAGCAACTTGGGGGTTGTTCCTTTCAAACACTAGCCCCTAAACCCTAAACCCTAAACCCTAAACCCTAAACTAAGCAGCAGAGAGTTCAGATGTTGGGTAGGGTTCCGCCTTAATTGCTTAAGTTTGCAGCTTCAGGGGTCCATAACCCCCGAACCCTAAACCCTAAGTTTAGGGTTTAGGGTTTAGGGTTTAGGGTTTAGGGAAGCCCTAAAACCCTAAAGCCCTAAAACCCTAAACCTGAAACCCTAAACCCTTCTGCAGGCTCTTCCGTGCAAAACAGGCCGGTCGAAGCCCATCTCCTCGCATCGACACGGGAGCCTGCAACAAAGGCACAGACGAAGAATTGAAGCTGTGGATCCTTAGGGTTTAGGGTTTGTTAGGGTTTGTTAGGGCTTGTTAGGGTTTAGGGTTTAGGGTTTAGGGCTTAGGGCTTAGGGTTTAGGGTTTAAGGTCTAGGGTCTGTTAGGGTTTAGGGCTTAGGGCTTAGGGTTTAGGGTTGAAGGTTTACGGTTTGTTAAGGTTTAGGGTTTAGGGTTGAATCCTTAGGAAGCCCTTTGCTTCTCCCCTCTGCCAAGTTTAGGATTTGCGCCCCTTTGATTCTGGAAGCAAGACGGACCTAAGATCTGCCAAATCTTTAGGGTTTAGGATCTATAGGGTTTAGGGTTTAGGGTTTAGGATTTAGGGTTGAGGGTTTAGGGTTTAGGGCAGGGTTTAGGGTTGCTTCTTGTATCCTAGGCCCTAAGCCCCAAACCGATAAACCCTGGAACCCCAAATCCTAAGCCTTCATGTCCCCTAGCATCTGCAAAACGTAGTCTCTGCAGGGTGCAGGGTTTTAGGCGTTTTCGGATTGGGGGTCCAGAGGGGCTTACATCTGAGGTAGTCCTGCGACGCAGCTCGCCTTTGGGACGGGTTGTAGGGTTTAGGGTTGTAAGCGTGGCAGGTGCGATGACATCGTTAACATTCCTGCTGCCCTCATTTGGGCTTCTGGGAGGTGAGACTCTGGGTTCACGAATATCACATAGCGGGCTAGCTCGTAGAATTGGTTTTGCAAGTTAGTGCCAACAGCGACGTTCCTGCACCATATCAGGCGGATTTACCCAAGTCAACGCTAGTTCGCCCCGCAAGTTCGTCATTCTTAATACCTGCACAGTGCCCCGCCCTACACCCGATAGGTGCTGGGAGTCCTAAACCAGAACGATCACAGATGTTGAGGTTGGGGTAGCGGGTTTGGGCTTTGGGCTTCTGGATGCCCTGAGACATGCCGGCTGGACCCCTTCTTTGTCCAGGATGGATACAAGTCTCCTGCCGGTCCAGATGCAAAGCTGTCGGATTTGGGGCGCACTACGGGAGTGTGGGACTTTGCAATCAGATTTTTTAAGCCACCCAACCATGGAGCCACATACTGTAGGGGCCTTAACAATTGAAATAGGGTTTTGGGGCCCATTATGCTTTAAATATAATAAGGAACCCCCAAAACAATGTAGGCAATTATTGAGGCCCCTATATTACCCGTTGGGCTGAAAGTTTTTGGTTCGGGCGTCTTAATGCAGGGCTCTTATTGGATGTTGTTCTACAAGCCAAGACCTGTTCCATGTTTGCCGCGTATTGCTGAGCTTGGCAGGGAAAGTTTGAGCCTTGATGCATGTCTCTTGGAATCCTGAAGCTCAGTAAGGCCTAACACCATGAAACCTAAACCCTTCAACATCCGTGAGCCCTAAATCGTAAAAAACCTAGAACCCTAAGCCCCTTATGGCCCTTAACTTCAAAAGGTTCAAGGTTGACAAGCAAGATGCAGCGCAGTGGGCCATTGCAAACCCTGCAGCTAAGCCCCAACTCCACCGAAGCCGAACTACTCATTCCGCTCCATCAAAGACCGACCCGCCCCCGCCTCGCCCCTAAATGACTCTAAGACTTAACAAAGCCTAGCAGACTTGTCGAGCCCTGCGCCATCTTCATCTGAGCCTCCCTCAACTCTTCCTAAGTCCAAAAGTATGGAGTTTTCGCAATACTAGGGACCCGGACATAAACCCTAAGCAGTCAGCTCCTCTGTAATTACAACAACCCCTCCAGCAAAGTTCCGCAATTTTCTGTATCTAATCTAGTAGATATATCTCCTACGAATCGGGTCCTCCAGGTTTCTGGATAACCTGGGCTGAACTGGGCTGCACATAGGTTACCTGGTTTGTTGCGAGTCTCGCTGTTACTGCCTGAACTTGTCGAAAGACTGCGATGGTAGCTGTAGTCGTCGTCGTCTCCCTGCTGGGTCTCTGCTAGTCCGTACTGTTGACGGACTCCAGGCAGGTTTCCCTAGCTACGGGTTCCCAACGGTCTCGTGTTACAGGCTGTACAGGCTGTGGGGAAGCTGCAGACAGACAGACTGATTCTGCAGCATGAATAATAACTGAATTGGGAGTTTCCGAAAATAGGGGACCCTAATATAGTACCCTAAATAGTAGGATCCCTACTACAAGGACCCCAAAATAAAGGACCCTAATTTTTGGAAACTCCCAATTAGGACTTCAAACAATAAGCAGACTCACAGCTGGGACTCAAGGCCTAGACGCCCGGCCTAGACTTTTTGGGGCCGACGGGAAGCCCTGGGAGCGCTCGAGTGACAACCGTCGTGTTCTCCAAGAGAACTTCCAGGGTCTCAAAGAGATCCATTCCAGGGCAGAACGTGGACAAGGTAAGCTCGTAGTCCCGATTGCTCACATTAACCTCACCAGTCATACCATCGATGGTCGCCACCAATTTCACAGAGTCCACTGCAGGGAGCCGAACCTTGACGATTTGGCAAGATCTGGTGCAGATGGAGACACTGGCAGAGCCAGAGGTATAATGGCCGTCGTAGTAGTGCACAAAGAGGTAGTACAAGTTGGACTGTCGACTCTCATCTCGCAGCGTGATGGTCTCGTGAGTGCAATCGTCAATGCAATCCCACCTGAGTTTCCCACCCCAGGCTGGCGCCATGTTGTGCCAGAAAGTGTCTCCATCCCGCATCCAACAGGTCGCGATGCCCGCGCGTCTCAGCATCCCAGTCCAGGTGGAAGAGAAAATCCAAGGCACAACCCGTGGTCCGAACCCGGTACACGAGCACCAAGGGGCCTGAGGAGTTCCACCAAGTCACCTTGATCACCTGATCACCGCAGAAGAGCGGCACCAAGAATGAGAAGTTCCCTGTGCTGTTGGTAGTAATGCGGCCGCTGGCCGCACCATCACCGGCGGTTCCCTGCCGACTCCCATCCGTCCTAGCCACATACCAGTATCCGTCCCCGGCGCCCGACACCATGCCCTGAAAGCGCATGGTCGCCGCGTCAGTCTCAACCTCAAGGTCTGTTCTGGGCTCACAACCCTGATGGCAGGCCAAGCGATCCAAAGGCTCATGGATCACCGTCGTCACCACCGGACACGCATCGCAGCCATAGATGCCCGGTTCGGTGCGCTTGGGGGCTGGATCCTCAGCACCAATCACGAGATGATCACCGGTCAAGGTGATGCCATCCGTGGGGAAGCCCGGTGGGTAGGTGATCCTGATCATGACCCAGGCAGGTGCCTGGCAGTCGAGGGCGACCGCACCAGGCAAGCAGAACAGCGCCAATGGCAGTCCCATCGACTCACGTGTTGCAGCGGCCAGACCCAAACAAGCAGCGCTCCAGAGCCCATGCCACTCATGCGCGCCTGAGGTCTCCTTTGCCATTGCATGGACCCATGCAATAATATCGATATTAAAGCCAATAATGAACGTGCCATTCGTCACGCTGGTGACTTCGAAGCCACGCCCGAGAAATTCAATGGTCAGCCCCTGAAGGCTGGAATCCTCTCGGAAGTAGACTTCGCCCGGGAGCTCGCTTCGGAGCACGATCTCAGGCTCCTCCAATGAGAAGTTCTCATGGACATCGACATTCTCACAGGGCCTGGTGAAGATGCCCCTTGCACATGGCCACAATACCAGGAGCAGCCAAGCGGACATTGCAATGCACGGATGAGGGCAGCTTGAGTCTGTTAACGCTGGCGGTCCAATAAGGTCAAACTCCCTTTCCCCAACACATCCACCTAGGACCTAGAGCCCAAGAAACAACACCACGAAACCCCGGTCAAGCGGCCGCGACAAGGCAGGCGAGCACAGAGCAGCAGTAGCAGAATCTCACCAGGCTTCGGCTTCAGGAGTGTCCTAAGATCTATTTATTGACCAAAAACTGATTGTGATCCGGTTTAGGGTTTAGGTTTCTGAAGAGTATACAAAACCCTGACGGTCCATGTGTTTCGTCCTCGCTGCAGACACAACGACCATGTCCTGAGGCTCTTGCTGTAGCGCAGGTGGTCATACGGTGTCCGGGAAGACTGACCTGATGACACTCGGGGCCAGCAACAAGCAAGGTACTTGGAGGTACATGGGTAGTTATAAGTGGGGTTATAAGTCCCCTAACTTGGGTTATAATTATAGTTACCCTAGTTATAACTCCATCTATAACTACCCATTAACCTCCAAGTAGTGCCGGTTGAAACAGTAACAGTCGTGTTAGTACAAGCAATTCTGGCAGGACAAGCAATAGCATTAACAGCAATAGCGACGACCAAGAGTAACGGCAACCATGGCGACACACTAGAAACCATCGTGCTAGCTTTCTGGTCACTATACTGACAGCAGCAGCATGCCCAATCGTAGACCAATCAAACACTAGTACTGGTACTGGACTCGTGACGGGCAGCAGTAACAAGGAATGTCCGGACATAACAGCAGTGCAGGTTCCGACAATAGTGATGGCCATGTGGAAACGGTTTAACAATACCCAAAACCCTAAACAGTTTAACAGTTCTGGTGTCCCAAGCAACACCTGCCAGCAAAGCTGATCATGGCTGCAATTGAACTTGTAGTGATGCTGCCAAATGATGACTGCGGAAATTGAAACACAACTACACATGGTGCGAAAGATACGGATCATGTACCCACTTCAAGTTGCACTGGTAGAAGAAGCGAACAGACATAGCCAACCTGTTCGGCTAGTTATAGTCGCGATGCCAGCAGTACTGGTAGCAACAGAAGAAAGTAGGGGCAGTAGGAACAGCTAGTAGTCGTACCCTCATCATCAAAAGTCCAGGTCGTGATACTTGAATGTAGCTGCTGCACCTTCAAACCCTAAATAACCTAAATCCCTAACCCCAAAGCCCCAATGCCTTCAACCCTAAATCCTTAAACATCCCTTTAAGGAGCCCTTCAAGGAACCCTAAACCCTTATAGATCCCTTCAAAAATCCCCAAATCCCTTCTAGATCCCTAAGCCCTAAACCCTTGGAAACCTAAACGCTTTTGGACCCCCTTGAGGAGCCCCTGACCGAACCAGGAAACCCTTGAATCCTCGTACTATAGGGGCCTAAATAATTGGTAGCGGGCGCACAGGTTGCCCTGTGGGCGTGTGCGTTTTAGGATTCATAAGGGGTGGGGGGGGGTGGGGGGAGGGCTTAATAGCGTCCGGCCGTCGCATATCCTCTCGAGCGGGCAGTTAATGCCTGGCGGCGATGGGTTGACACACATGCTGAGTTTCTACTTGAGCATGACCCCATGGCCAGGAGCGTGCCTGAGCTTCTCGCCTTCTCACGTCGTATCACGCTGAAATGGAGCACGCGCCCTCCCAGCCGCCCTCGGCGGAACCTGCAGTGCTTGGAACAGCAGAAACGCCTCCGCTTTCAGCTTCCTCACGCCCAACGCTGAACTTGGGGAGCGTCTTACATGAGCCATTCCTGTGCATGTGTCTGACGATCCCTTGGGCGGCATATCTCCGATTGTGCACGTGTCCTCCAAGTCTTGGTCCGACCTGTCACGGGAGGTCCGGAACCATTTGCATGAGCAGGCCGCTCAATTACCGCCTGACCAGCCGGCGGCATGGCACTGTCGTGGCTGGCACTGGCGCCTGATG